AAACTCGGGTAATAAGATGGGGACAACTCAATAAAAATCAAATCCAATGTTGAAGGACATGAGATCGAGATAATCTCTTGGAAAGAAAATAAAAAAATGACTTGGTTAAAATACTAAAGCACGTTACCTTGATCACGAGACTAAGACATATGGAAAATAAATCAAAACAGATTATGAAGATCAATTCCCAACCGATCCAATATTGAATAATAAAACTAAATAAATAAATAAATTAAATAAAACATAAAAAACAACTCTAAATAACTCGGTTTAACCTGTTAAGCACTTTTCCTAGGTCATGAGACCAAATTAACATAATAGAAAGCTAATAAAACAAATCATGAAGTCGTATTTCCAATTAACCAAATATTAAAGGATAAAATTGGAAAAAACAGGTTAAATTAGGAGAGAAAAACCTAGCCAACTGGGTTAATTTACTAAACCCGCAATGTGTCATGAGAGTAGGATAATCTAATAAAAAACAAATTTGATATTAAAGGATAAAATTTTTAAAAAACATTAATTGAAAAAAAACCATATAAGAAAAAAAAAAAACAAAGGCAAAGGTTTTTTTTATGGGGGAACTATTCATTACTACAGTTCTTTCCCCATATATTTTAGAGTATTGTTAATATACTCTTTCTCCTCTGTCTAAATGCTGATACAACAACAAAGCCTTAATCTAACAAGTCAGGGCCAGCTACATGTATCTTTTTGCACCATTTGGTGTAATCATAAACCATATCCATCTCCATATTAAGGCTGTTTAAGTCATTCGATACCACTTCCATCCACAATGTTTGGTCTCCCTCCTCCTTCCACATTCTCCTTTTGATTTCTCTGACTGAATGCCTCTAGTGGCCTACTCTAAACATACCCAAATCATCTTAGTCATTCTTCTCATTTTATCTCCAATTTTCTGAACATTGGAAAATTGGTTAATTTCTAATATTTCCTTCTTTTTTTGTTGCCATTAACCATCTTAGCATGCACATCTCAACCACACTCATTTTATGGGTATGCTGTTTTCTTGCCCGAGATTCAGTCCTATACAGCATGGTTAGCATGGTTGGCCTATTGTGTCTTGTGGAACATACCTTTCACTGATAAAGTTTATATATATATATATATATATATATATATATATATATATATATATATATTTTGATGGGAAAGGAAGTTTTGAATGAAAATATGTTCCATATGTATGAACGAAGAACTAGAAATACACCTAAAATATCGAGAGGAGGAATATCTTTTTCCATTGCTGAAGTAATCTAGTCACATGTTAGGCTTGCTTAGTTGCAGCTATGGATGGGGAGGTGTGTGCTTGTATCAAAACTGAGAAGAAGCTAATGATATGAACTATGATTTGAACAGGCATGGGATCTATATTATCATGTCTTCAGACGAATAGACAAGCAGCTTCAAGTCATGACGACTCTTGACCTCCAGGCAAGAATGATATATCTTTATGTTGATTTTTAGCTTGTTATTGAAATGGAACTTACCATTCTCTGGTTGTGGAAAAATAGTCTGTTTCTCCTGAGCTGGTAGAATGCCGTAATTTGGAGCTTGCTGTTCCTGGAACATATCGTGCTGGTAATCCTAGTTACAAGTCTTATTAATTATCAAACCTCAGTTTCCTGGCTAATCCTTCAACTTGGTGTCTCATGCTTCAGATTCACCAGTAGTAACAATAGCATCATTTGCACCTGAGCTTGTTGTCATAACATCAAAACAGCGACCCCGGAAATTGACTATTCATGGGAGCGATGGGGAAGATCATGCCTTCTTACTGAAGGGACATGAAGATTTGCGCCAAGATGAACGTGTAATGCAGGTAAACTATGTTTTGCGCTTGAGATATTTATTATTGTGCTCTGTTGTGCTAGATGTTACTATTTGGGTCTAATTGCTGCTTAATGCTAAAAATCTGTTGGCTGTTGTCAGCTGTTTGGATTGGTGAATACTCTGCTGGAGAATTCGAGAAAAACTGTTGAGAAGGATTTGTCTATTCACCGATATGCTGTAATTCCATTATCTCCAAACAGTGGGTTAATTGAATGGGTTCCTAATTGTGACACACTACACCATCTCATTCGAGAATATAGGGATGCCAGAAAGGTACATTAAAGTTTATTTGTGAGTAATGGAGTAGTGGGGTGATGACTGTTGAAGTATCTGCCTTCATGTATTTAGTATATGGTTATGTCGGTATGTTGTCATGAGACTGCTGCAATTGATGGATTCCTGTTTGTCGTAATCATTTCAGATCACCCTAAATCAAGAGCACAAATACATGCTCAGTTTCGCTCCGGATTATGACAATTTACCTCTCATAGCTAAAGTTGAAGTCTTTGAGTATGCTCTTGACAATACTGAAGGGAATGACCTGGCTAGGGTATTATTCATCTCTTCAATATTTATTTCTTCCTCCCCTGTGGAAACTATTTCACTTTACCAACTAATGTTATCTGCCAGGTTCTTTGGTTAAAAAGTCGCACTTCTGAGGTATGGCTAGAAAGGCGAACAAATTACACACGGAGTTTAGCAGTCATGAGCATGGTATGTGTCCACCTTGTATTAATGTTTAGCAGTCATGGATATATTATGTGTCTGCCTTGTATTATTTAACAGCTTTCTTAAAGGATTCCATTCCTTGATTAATGAAACTCTCAATGAACGTCATTATATTGCCATTCTAGCTGGCAAGTTCTCCAAACAAACTTGCCAAATAATTGAATTGTGTTTTTTGGTTAACTTGAATACTTCACTGGGTATGACTTTTTGGCCATAATTTGACAATCATTTCTGGTTCCATATGTCTAAAAGATTTAGGACAGAAGCAGATGATCCCAAATCATCCTGTCCTTTATGCCTTTGAACTGTTCCAGATTATGAACAGGGAAATAAGGTCTTGATGCATCTAGTTGTTGGATTCAATGTTTTAACTCCTAGCCAAAGAAGTTTTTGCTGGCCATCTCACGTGCTTTTGTCTTCTAGGATTTTTAACCTTGCTTTGTTTCTACCAAATAAATTAATAAAGCTGCTTTGTTTTGATTCAGGGAACCTACAATCCTTTTCTTTTAATTCTCTCTTTATTGTTGAGTTTTTGATTTTTTGAAACATGTTAATTATTTAACGCTAATTGCTTTTTCTCAGGTTGGTTACCTTCTTGGTTTAGGTGATCGACACCCTAGTAACCTTATGCTACATCGCTACAGGTATATAATGATTAGAACAAAGCAGAGGAAAGAATAGTGCTAGTTTATGGGATTAATCATACTTGTTATGTTCTGCAGCGGGAAGATCTTGCATATTGACTTTGGAGATTGCTTTGAAGCTTCAATGAACCGGGAAAAGTTTCCTGAGAAGGTGCATTCTAGAAAAACTGCATTATCATACACTTCCTAATGCACATGATGGTTCTTTGAATTTAAAATGTGGCAGTATGCTTAAAATTATATTTTCAATGTAGGTTCCTTTCCGATTGACAAGAATGCTTCTGAAAGCTATGGAGGTTAGTGGTATAGAGGGCAATTTCCGCTCTACTTGTGAAAATGTGATGCAAGTTCTCCGTACACACAAGGATAGTGTTATGGCCATGATGGAGGTATGAACACTGCAGTTTATTTTTCTATTTAGTACTTCTATGAGCCTACTCCAGAGGGAAACAAAGATCAAATTAATTGCATGCTTTGAATATCTTCTGAAAGTCCACATTTGCAGAACAGTGGATACTGGTGAAAGCAACAGCAATCGTTAAGTATGCAAGAAGTTTAAAAATTTGCAATATTACAAACATTGTAAGACTATTAATTGTGTGAAAAACAAGTATACGTGTCGTTTCTTAACTTATAAGAAATTTATAGTGTTGAGGTGAATATATCCAGTTCAAGGAAGAAAAAAGGTGAAGGTTTCCAGTTGGTTAATATATTGGTCTGGTTTTCAATACAATGCTAAAAGGAAAATATAGATTCTTGTTTGTTGAAATGACAATAAGGTAAGTCAATCTGGTTCCCCTATTTTTCAGGCTTTTGTTCATGATCCCCTCATCAATTGGCGCCTTTTCAACTTTAATGAGGTCCCACAAATGTCAATGTTCACCAATAGTCATGTCCCTGCTGTTGTGAAGGCCGAGGAATCTGCTCCTAGTAGAGAGCTCCCTCAACCTCAACGCAGTGCTCGTGAGAGGGAACTTCTTCAGGTATCATATATTATCTTAAATGTAGGAACCTTTGCAATAATGTTCTTCAATGATGTTTATATATTCATTTGGTTTTATGTAGGCTGTTAATCAGCTTGGTGATGCTAATGAAGTTTTGAATGAACGTGCTGTGGTTGTCATGGCCCGGATGAGTAATAAACTGACTGGACGTGATTTCTCCGCTCCTTCATTTACTGCAAGCTCTATCCAACATGCAGTAGATCACAGCTCAATTTCTGGAGATACTCATGAAGTAGATCATGGCTTATCTGTTAAATTGCAAGTTCAGAAATTAATTATTCAAGCCACATCACATGAAAATCTGTGCCAAAATTATGTTGGGTATGATGCCACTGTGCCTTCCCGCCTTTTTTTACTTGTTTTATGCACACTCAAAGTTTTGTAACAAGGTGGCAAACACTGGCCAGTATGTGTTTAAAGATGACAAGCGGGTCAGTGTTGCTGTTGTTGGTATAACATGCATGGTTTCATTTAACTTCTTAGCAGAAATGACAGCTGAACGAAGGTGGCATTGAACAATTCCTTTTCACTTTTAATTTCATCATAAAAAGTTTGTTTCATGCCATTCTCGTCATCTAATTTTGCACTGATTGAAAGAACAATTCTACTAGTTATCAGGCTTTGTTACTGATGACTTCTACGTTTAACTTTTCAGGTGGTGTCCTTTTTGGTGAAGGGAAGCAACCCTGTTGTATGAAGTGGAGACATAGTTCACTCACAGTAGACCTCGAGACTTCCTGGTTTGCATTTTCTCTCATTGCAACTTCTGTATATAGATACCAATTTGAAGCAATGAAAGTTGCGTGTATTCTTGTATAGTGGAATGGCATTTAAAATGTATGGGAATGACCATCATCCCCTCAGTATGGCTGCTATTTATTCTCAGCTGTGTATTTCATCCTTGTGACACTTGCAAGAATCGGAATTTCACAGTTACGTTAAATATTTGTTCGTTTGGTATCACATGGGTGTCTTTTATTATTTCCTCCCTCCCACCAAGTACTTTCTGTGGCATCTTGAACTATAACTTCCTTGACGAGACCTATTAGCATATTTAGATACAGTGCATAGCGTTGACATGACCATTTCAATATACGTGGAAAAATATATATGTTTCCATACTTTGTACTAAAGAATGCAGATTTGTATTTCGGTCTGTTCCCGTTGTCGTACATGTAAATGTATGGAACACTGTATTTAGTGGGACTGAGATGGCAGTGGCGATGCACCAATGATGGCATTGGCATGAAAGCCTCGTATTTTGTCATGTTTTGATGTAGTGCGAAGGGAGATAGTAATTGGTGTTTGGAGCTATACTTCGTCTTTTGTTGCTGAAGGAGACGGCCTTTAACATTTTGCTGCTGTTTCTTGATTGGAGAAAAACGCAGATCAAAATGAAAAATGCCGCTCTCGTAGAACTTCCGTCCAGAGATTCCTCAGTCTAAGAAGGATTCGTTTGAATGCTTGGTATGCAAAGACAATGATTGGGTGCGCATGAAAGCAAGGCCTAAGCCTGTACCAGGGTCAGCTCCATTTTCAAGTACCTGGTTTCGGCGATATGAAGATTTTTGCAGGTGTAGTGTACTGATCTTTGCATCTCCCGAATCAAAGCGGTGTTGATTGTTGTGACAAAACTTTTAACGGAGGAGATGAATTCTGAGCTAAGAGAAGTCATTGTTTTTTTTTTTTTAGATTAACGTGGGTGTCCGGGCCAGCTTGCGCGTATCATGACTAATCCCACGGGTCCTGAAGTTAACGATCATGTAAGCCTCCAGTGACCATCATATGAGCAACCAAGGATTCGAATCTGAGATTATAAAGAGAGTAAACCCTTTAATATCAAGTTTTTATTACTTGGTCACCATCTAAATAGTTAAATCATTGTTGTTTTTCAAAGAAGAAGGGGAAGCACCTTTCTCTTACATAGTTATCCAAGATGGTTAAGTCATTGTTGTTTTTCAAAGCATGGAAGAAGGGCAAGCACCTTTCTCTTACATAGTTATCCAGTCGGTGCTGGGACATCTTTAATAATAAATTATCTGGGACATCCTTAATAAATTATCAAGGAAGGGAGAAGCTGAATTTGAGATTACCTTTAAAGTCTAAAGATTAGCATTAACATTAATTAATTAATAATAATAAATAATTTTGTGGCTAAAACATAGTATTAAAAGTGTATTTGATAGTTTACTGCCAATTATTTTTTAAATAATTTTTTATATTAAAATACATATTAATAATATTTTTTTATTTTTTAAAAAATATTTTTAATATTATTATATTAAAACAATTTAAAATTTAAAATGTATAAATTATATTAAATTTTAATAAAAATAAAAATTAAAAAAAAATTAATTTTTTTAGAAACGCAAGCATTTCCAAATACTGCCCAGGACACAGCGACACGGATCATTGTGGATGCCATTGCGTACTTGCAACATGATTTTTTTTAAAAAAAAAATATTTACATAGCTGTCTAGCTTCAAAACCCCTTAATTTTTAATTTTTTTAACCTAAAATCACATATTTTTTGTTCGCCCCTTTCTTTTTCAAGAAAGAACAGACGAAGGCTCTAGATAAAAATTTTCATCCCAAATCTCATGTCTCCCAGTTCTTTGAAAGAATTGCTTAAATTTCTCGAATCTAAAGGCAGGTAGGACTCTAATCTACATTCGACGATGAAAGAATCGAGAGTGACTGGATTGGAGGAGCAAAAGATGCATAAAATAAGGTCTGCTCTGTGATGCTGAAGATTTTGTTACTGACTATGCAGCTTCTGAGATGGATCACAAAATGTAGGAAAACCTAAAAAAGATGAGCTCTTTGAAACCCTGAATCTTTTATGCTTTTTTTTTTTCATATTTGGATATAATGCATGCGACCTTCTTTTTATATATATTTTTTATGAGTTTTTATTTCTGAGATTAATTTGCTTTGAGTTCTTGGTTGTGGATTCCTTTTTTTTTTTATAGGATTTGCCTTTGTTTCTTCTTTGATCGAGTTTGATTTGTTTGCCAATTTGTTAGGATGGTTGAATCGATTTGTTTTGTTCCTTCTCTTGCCAGATACATATTTCCATGTTCACCTCCTTTCATCTTTCTGTTAGATCTTCTCATATATTTGTTGACGAGGAAGACAATTGGCTCTTGATTTTAGATTGATGCTTAGATACATCGATGTATAATCTCTATTTTTTATGTGCTACAACATCAACTGATGCAATTACATCTTCACTTTGTTTCTTCAATTTCCTGGGAGCTGTTTCTCTTTCATCAGAATTGCTTGCTGGTTTGTTTTGGCCTGCCAACCTAAGGAGATTTATAGTTTTATTTTTTTTTCCAAATCATGGATCTTTATATTTTGATATAGGAAAGAATTTTATTGAGAGATTGCTGCCTATAGCTGCTTATATTTTTATGTGGCCTGCTTCTGTAACTTGTAGACATATGGAGCCTCCTATTGGAAATGCCTTGCTTAAAAGGTAGCATCTCACCTGCTCATTGTCTGTATTTTAAAATTGGGATGTTTGAAGAATTTGTTTATGCCATGGCACCAACACCTTTACAGGCTTGTTTTTTGTGTCTTTTTCAGTTTTATTTTAGAGAGCATTAATGATTGCCATTTTTTTTAACAAGCTAGCTCAAATGGTTTGTGTATTTTTCTCATTTGGTTGAACCTTTGGGCTAGTGTTATGGGTATTATGATAGGCTGTCATGATTGTGCATTTAACTCACTGTCATTACATCTTCTCTTTATCACCTCTTGAATCTATAGGAAGTTGCTTCTCTTGCATCAGAATTGCTTTTTGATTCGTTTTGGCTTGCCTTTCCAAAGTGATTTGCATTTTCTTTCCTTCTAATCCTCACTCTCATCCATCCCTCTTTCGGTTTGTTCACAATCAAGCTCTGACCAGATAGGTTAATTGCCAATGATCATCATTTTTTTTTGCAATCATGAAACTACATTAGTTGCTATCATTTAAATTTAATATTGCTTTGATCATGATTTTTGTCTCATGATGCTAGAGTTAGATTATGAATTAATACAACTACACTTAATTTAGTTCACGTGAATAGAGAAAAGTATGTTACACTCATCATGCATGAAATAAGACTTAGTTATGACTATAAAAACTCAAAGAGAATGGGGAGAAAGTTTAAAGAGTCTTTTGTTTATTCTTCTGCAACTATTTTGCATGCATTCAAGGTGTCTTTAAATAGAACTTCAGTTTGACAGAGGTAGAGTAGAAATGCAATAAACATCCTATTAGTTAGCCTGTACATGATATACATTTGAAATCAAAAACTTTTATCTCCTCTGTTTCAGGAGTCTGCTGCTGGATTTGAAAAGGTCTCATTGACTTGTTCTTCTACACGCCTCCACAGTTGAAAGGGAAAGGAACGAACATTGAGACTGTCACGCAGGAGAAGAAACTAAGTGGAAGACAATGGTTTTGTAAGGGCATCTGCATATTGATCTTTTCTGGAAACAAATTGAACATGAAGTTGACAACGTAGAACTTGATCATGAATAAAAAGGAAGTCAATTTCAATATGTTTTGTATGGAAGTCAATTTCAATATGTTTTTTGTGAGCATGTAATAAAGGATTGCTAGTCAAACAAGTAGCTTTTGTGTTGTCACACCAAAGAATTGGCGAATGTACAAGCTGAACATGAAGATTAGTGAGCAAGGATTTTATCCATCGAATTTCTTGAGCAACATTTGCAAGAGCTTTTTCTTCAGCTTCAATACTACTTCGAGCAACAATTTTTTGTTGTTTGCACCCGTATAAAACTAAATTATTGCCAAGATAAACATAAAATACACTAACTGATTGTTTGTCATCGTGATCAGATGCCTAATCTGCATTGCTGAACGTATGAAGTTTTATAGCAGGACCGGGTTGAATCAACAGAAGGGCATGAGAGATTGTGTTTTTGAAATAACACAAGATGCATTTTATAGTTGCCTAATGTGATTCAAATGGATGATGTATATATTTGCTAACCTTATGAACTGGAAATGCAACACCAGGCCAGGTGAAGGAAATGTATTGCAGTCCACCAACTATACTGCCTACCAACCATGCTGCGATACAAATGAGAGTTATGAAAAGGTGAAAAGGTATTCCATCAGACTTTGTTAATGACTGTGGGGTGGACATGGGAGTTAAGCACGACTTTGCTTTGTTCATATTATTGCGGGTAAAAAGATTCAGCCATTATTGTTTTTAATTGCTTCAATGCCTAATAGAAGTTCAATTCTTCAACGTCTTTTACTGCAAATTTGTTCTATAGCACGCTAATCACACGGTTAAATAAACATATAGAGTAATCTGCCTGATTGTTGATAAAGCCAATAGCTTACAGATGATCAGTTAACTGAGAGAACCATGCTCATGGTGTCTGATGAAGACCGTTGAGAGATTTGTGTAGTTTGCAGACATGGTGAGACAATTCAGGATGAATTAATCATAGGGGTTGAGTCATCCAGACATTCTCTTGTAGAAGTCTATGTAAAAATGTATTTTACACATAGATTTGACAAAAATACCAGTTACAAGAAACTGCTAGGGATAACACCAATCTAATAGTGGATGGTATAACCACGAGGATTGAATGTTTCACCTAACACCCCCTTGTTAATGAAATCCTTTTGTGACTAAGCATGTCTTGGAACGCTCAATACCACCATTAACTCTTTTTTTTTAATTTTGCACACTTATTTGTATTAGGTGATTTAAGAACTAGAGTCCAAATTCCATTTGCTAACAAAGGCATTAAAGTCTTTGTTCATGGCCTCATGTCAATGGTGGTGCTTGATTGTAGTTGAACAACAAGTTGGTTCTCTGTTTTTTTTGGATTGTGGTCATAAGTGCTTTGGGAATTGAATAACGAATGTGTCGATCAAATATGATTTTTGGTTTACAGATGTTATTCATGCTTCTTGTGATCATGGGGTCTTTGTTTTGAGTCTGTTGCTAAGGTAAAGAAGGTAACTTGGAGGGAAGGATGTTATTTTGCTACTAAGAATGAGTATCATTTCTAGTATGAGAACTAGAATCAACATGAAGATCAGTTGAAAGGCTTGATGTTAAGGCCATATGCAGATGACTTTGTGCAGGATTCTGAATAATTGTACCTATAGAGATAAGAGAACTAGAGGGTGATAATTGAAGATTTGGTAGGAGGATAACAAGATTGAATTTTTTTATAAACATAGCAAACTTAAAAACTGTATATGGATAAATAGATTCATCAAAGACAACATGATGGGAGATGAAATTTTTTCCTATAATGACATCTAAATATTTGTATCCTTAATGATTAGTACTATACCCAATAAATATGCAGTTTTTGAATTAAAAATCCATTTTGTGTCTATTGTAAAGGTGTAAATAAGGCGAAGAAGCATAACCAAAAGCACGTAAAAAATGATAATTTGTTTTTTTTTTTAACCATTTTGTATAGTGAAAGATTTTTTAAAAGGTGTAGGTAATCTATTAATAATAAAAACAAGAGCTAAAAAAACATCTTTCCAAAATATTTGTGGTAATTTTCAATGAGCAAGTAAAGATAAACCTACTTTATCAATGTCTGTGATGCCTTTTAATTGCCCCAACTTATTGATGGGTATAGGGACAGGTGATTTGGTGATTAATGCCTTGAATTTGTAGGTATTTATTTAGGCTATAATATTAACCAACCCAATTTGATTGTAGACCTCTATTTTTATATCAAATTAGCATTCTACTGTATTTTGAAAACAAATAAAAGTTTGATATGCATCATATTTGAGTTTTAAAGGAAATAGCCATAAATATTTAGTTGCATCATCTAGAAAACTAATGTAGTAATGTGTACCAGTGGTAGATAAAACAAGAGTCAACCCCTAACCATTTGAGTATATTAATTGCAATGGTTTCAAAACAGAAACATAAACACGTTTAAAGGGTATAACATGGCTTTTAGCCAACTGACATTCAGAATAAATAGAAGAATTTTTATTTTGATGAGCTAGTGAAATTGCTTTATTGATGCAAAATGTTTCCTAAGTAATCCTTTACAATGAAGAAAAAAGTATGAAACTCGAAGAAAACATTATTGTCTAGACAAAAATGATGAACAAATATAAGATTTTTCTTTTTGTATTTCAAGAACATATAGAATTTATTTAAGCACAAAGGATTTAGAAGGAAAAAAAAAGGTGAAAGTTCCATTTTGCATGATTTTTAGACTTTCACCATTAGCCACCTAAATATGATCGCGACTATTGTTGTCTTCATTTGGCAAATGAATGTTGTTTACATTATTGGTTAAATGATGGGTAGATCCAGTATCAGGACATTACTTATTATCAGTAATGTCGTAGTGTGCATCAACTATGGCTTAAGGTTGGTTTTTAGGAGTGTGTTGATCCTGATAAGAAAGATCAAAATGGTGATAGCATTGATAAGCAAAATGGCCTGTTTTGAAACATACATGACATGTAACAGAGTTTGATGGACCATTATTATGTGAATTGAAACAAGCATGACATTCTCTATAAGGGTAGATTTCATAACTACGATTTGAGTAGTGAAATTTTGAAGTTATATAAAAAGAGGACAAGTTTGGTTGTAGAGGATGCTTGATAGCCATATTTACTAAGGCAGTAACTTGAAGTGGTTGATTGTTGTGATTGATTTTGGACTCACATTGAGAAGAAATGAGTAAAACTCCTTTAGAATGACAGGATCAACATGAGATGTAATTATAGAAACCAAGGAATCATACTCATGGCCAAGTCCTATAAGTACATAGGTGATAATGTCATCAGCTGTGAGTGGTTGTCCAGTAAGAGCAAGTTCATCAGTCATTTGTTTGATGGAGAGAAAATACACATTAGTAGAGAGAGGCCCTTTCAAAACATTTGTTAGTTAAGTGCGAATTTAGATAGCTTTTGCACACGAAATTAAGGAAAAGGTTCACTCTATGGCAAGCCAGACCTCATGATATATTGTATAAGACATGATTTAAGTGAGAACATCTTCAGTGAGTGAGGCATTGAAGGTGGCTGATTAGTACTTAAAAGTATATTTTTATCAAGGTTTTATATCATCATTTTGCACTTGAAGTATCAATAACTCCTTAACTAAAATGTGTTTTATAATAATATATCTAATAATATAAGATACCTTTAATTTGTGGTAAATGTTCATTTTAAATACAGGAATATCACATAAATGAAAGGATTGATTGATGAATTTAAGAACTGAAATTGAAAGGACAAAGAGATGGCCAAACTTAGAAAAGAGATGTCGGTGCAATCCAAACTGGAACACTGTTCGGTAATTGGGTTATATCTGGAGCTATATATCTCAGATTTAGGTCTACTTTATATGGATGGAAAGGTAAGACATAGGCCTACAACTTTCATATAGAGCCCAAGATCTGAAAAGGCCATTTTCAAGTCCAAATTGTAGCAACAACAAAGAAGCCCGAATCTGTCCTCCAGCCCGAGCATTGTTTAGTATTTTGGCAATATTTGGAGTTCTAGAAGTCCAAATGATCTAAATGTTTTACACAAGAAAGATGAGACAATTTCCTACAACTTTCATGTTTTCAAGTGGCTCCAATTTTGATGTTATCAATGACATTTTGGGCAGACAAGAGAAGATAAGGATTGTCACCAAGTCAAGAGTTGGCCACCCACTCATCAATTAGTCATCAAATCAATAGTTTCCAATTTTGGCCTATAAAAGGAGGCATTTGCCATGCATTTAGGCATCTTGGTTTCCAGATCAAGATCATGCTCTTGCTTTCTCTCTTTGTATTTTTTGTAATACTTATGCTTTGTTTTCATTAATATCAAGTTTATGCTTTTCATTTCCTTTCCTTTACTTAGTTAACTTTTATCTTGTTTATGTTCTTGTTTTATTTATTTATTTTCTTTCTTTTATTATGTTTAGTTAAGTTTATTATGTCAAGGTGAAAAGGTTACATTAATGGTGTAAGAATAAGTATAGTGTAAACTTAATATGGACTTTAATGTTTGATACTAACATGTTTTGTATTTGTTATCTTGTTCACTCTTTAATACTTTGCTTGTTAAATGACTAATTTTGATTTATGTTGTATAACACTTGGTACAACAAATGCTTGGCACTTTCATAGCCTAATCTTGTTCACTCTTTAATACTTTGCTTGTTAAATGACTAATCTTGATTTATGTTGTATAACACTTGGTACAACAAATGCTTGGCACTTTCATAGCCCATAATGTATGGTATAACCGACACCTGAGCTATGAAAGGAACTTGATTTGTTGTTAACATAAGTTATAATCATGAATGCTTGACGAGATTTACAAGTATTAGCATTAATCGAATAAGATGACTAATGTAATCATGTTAACAATCTATAATCTGATTGGAACCTCCTTTGTGTGTGGTTTCCAATTGAATAATAAGAGTTTATACTATACTTGTTTGACATACCATTAGTGGAACCTCTAACCTTGACATTTGTTATTATTATTATTTAATCCTTATATTAATTTTCCATCTCCAAGTTCTCATCATCTTCTTCTTCTTCTCTTATTATTATTATTATTATTATTATTATTATTATTATTATTGTCATTGTTGTTGTCATTGTTGTTGTTATTGTTAATACTATTATTGTTGTTGTTATTATTATTATTATTGTTGTTGTAATATTGTCATTTATAATTTGTACAATTAACCTCCCTATGGTTCGACCCCGGTCTTGCCGGGTTATTTATTACTTCGACACTTCTGCACTTGGGAGAAGACATCAATCTTTTAGTCGTGTCAGTGGTGAGGATTAGAGAATCTTGACAAAGCTATTGAATATATTGTGGATCGGGAATTTTGATATCAGCACTTGTGCTGGGATGAAGAACATCAATTTCTTATAATGGAATTTGGTTTGTACCATCAAGATGACTAAAAGACACTATAATCTTTGGAGTAGTGTAGGGTTTAAGCTTTCTAAACAGGATAGTTGGAGGAGTTGAGTTTGATGCTAATAGTTAATGGGAGATTGGAGAAGGATGGGATAGTAAAGAGAGAATCAATATAATTATTTGAGGTAGAAGATAAAGAAGTCATTGTGGATTAATAGTAAATAGATGTTGGTCTTTAAAAAGCTCTAATACCATATAAAACCAAAAGCTTTAATACCATATAAAATCTCAAAGAGACTGGAGAGAAAGTTTTAAGAGTCTTTTATATATTCTTCTGCAACTATTTTGTATGCATTCAAGGTGTCTTTAAATAAACCTTCAGTTTGATAGAGGTAAAGCAAAAATGCAACAAACATCCTATTAGTTAGCTTATACATGATATAAATTTGAAATTAAAAACTTGTTATCTTTATCTTCTTTTATTATCTTCATCTTCTCTGTTTCAAAAGTTTGTTGCTGGATTTGAAAAGGTCTCATTGAACTATTCTTCTATAATGACCTAACATTATGGTATGCTTTTTTTATTACATGTATTTTCACCATAAATATTCAAAGCTTACAACTCCTTAAAAGTCATGATATTCTTAGTTTTCCCTAACAAGTACCTTTTTATATAGATTCATGTTTTGATACATGGTGAAAATATAAAGCTTTGCCATGATTATTAGTATATATATGCAGGTAATGCTTCATATTTGGTTCAAGTTAGGAAGTGTTAGAGTTATAAAAAAAAAAACCTATAATCCTAAAATTATATTGTCAAATTTGTTCAAATGGCGTTTATATTTTTTTAAGTGGGCACAAATTCACTTAATCACTTCAACATACTAAAAAAATGTTGGTTAAATCCATTATGTGTAAATTTACAGACTCTTATTTTGTTGTTGTCATCCGCGACAAACGAGTCACAAATGTTATTTGCAACTTTGTTCGGAATTAATATGCAAGGCCTTTTTCTCCAATTCTTTCCTCCTTTCACTCTCTCCCCACAACAATTCGCCCTTCCTTTCTCCCCGCCATCAATAATTTTTTCTCTCTCTTCATCGTGGCTCATCCAATTTCTGACCAAAATAGCCATCATCAATTAACATTACCAACTACATTCTACATTTTGAGGTGTATTGAATACTTTTCTTTATCAATTTGATGTAATTTATGCTAATATGTGTTAATTTGATTTCATATAATACATAGGTTTTGAATTAGGGATTAAGTTAATTAGATATAATTTGAGTTGATAATTAGGTTATTTTATAAAATAATCAATGATTTTGGGTTGTTGTTGATGTGAATTGCCATAACTATTTTAATGGATTTAATATTGATTGAGATTAATCTATAGATTATACTGAATTACATATAAAATAAAAAAAAATTGGCTATGAAATACATGAGTTTGATTGATAATTTTGTTATGCTATTGAAATTTGATAAATGTAGGTGCTCGGCAATTAATTTGATGAATTTAGATTTGAGTTGATTAAGTTACCAATATGATTTTATTGATAAACTATGCACTTTGATTTACCCTAAAATATTAATGAATTAGAATTATGTTTTGTTGTATTGTTTGACAGAATGTTTGTTAATTTAGAAATATTATGCTTTCATGATGCTATCATTATCAATACTGACATTGATATCACTTATAATGAAAAGAGTTATAAGATCCTAACAGCTACATTAGGCATATCTCTTAACGAGTTATCTAGGATGTTATGTGACCAACTTGGTTAAAATGTGTTTAAAATAAAAGTTAGCTTGAAAGATGTTGTAAAATAGGGTGAGTCACGCTTGTTATATTGGTGTACTAATCTGTAGGGATAGAAGTGTGAATTCAATGTTTGGTTTGTGAGTATTTGATTGATACTTAAAAGTGTACTTTTATCAAGGTTTTATATCATCATTTTGCACTTGAAGTATCAATAACTCCTTAACTAAAGCATGTTTTATAATAATATATCTAATAATATAAAATACCTTTAATTTATGGTAAATGTTCATTTTAAATGCAGGCCTATCACATAAATGAAAGGATTAATTGATGAATTTAAGAACTGAAATTGAAAGGATAAAGAGATGGTCAAACTTAGAAAAGAGATGTCGGTGCAATCCAAACCGGAATACTGTTCGGTAATTGAGTCATATCTGGAGCTATAGGTCTCAGATTTAAGTCTACTTTATATGGATGGAAAGGTAAGACATAGGCCTACAACTTTTATATGGAGCCCAAGATCTAAAAAGACCATTTTCAAGTCCAAATTATTGCAACAACAAAGAAGCCCGAATCTATCCTGTAGCCAAGCACTGTTCAGTATTTTAGTCATATCCAGAGTTCTAGAAGTCGAAATTAGTTGAATTTTTTACACAAGAAATATGAGATAATTTCCTACAACTTTCATGTTTTCAAGTGGCTCTAATTTTGACGTTATCAATGATGTTTTGGACAGACAAAAGAAGATAAGGATTGTCACCAAGTCAAGAGTTGGTCACCCACTCATTAATTAGTTATCAAATCAATAGTTCTCAATTTTGGTCTATAAAAGGAGGCATTTGCCATGCATTTAGGCATCTTGATTTCCAGATCAAGATCATGCTCTTGCTTTCTCTCTTTGTATTTTTTGTAATGTTTATGCTTCGCTTTCATTAATATCAAGTTTATGTCTTTCATTTCCTTTCCTTTACTTAGTTAACTTTTATCTTATTTATTTTCTTATTTTGTTTATCTATTTTTCTTTCTTTCATTATGTCTAGCTAAGTTTATTATGTCAAGGTGAAAAGGTTACACTAATGGTATAAGAATAAGTATAGTATAAACTTAATATGGACTTTAATGTTTGATACTAACATGTTTTGTATTTGTTATCTTGTTCACTCTTTAATACTTTGCTTGTTAAATGACTAATCTTGATTTATGTTGTATAACAATTGGTACAACAAATGCTTGGCACTTTCATAGCTCATACTGTATGGTATAACCGACACCTGAGCTATGAAAGGAACTTGATTTGTTGTTAACATAAGTTATAATCATGAATGCTTGACGAAATTTACAAGTATTAGCATTAATTGAATAAGATGACTAATGTAATCATGTTAACAATCTATAATCTGATTGGAACATCCTTTATGCGTGGTTTCCAATTGAATAATAAGAGTTTATACTATACTTGTTTGACATACCATTAGTGAATCCTCTAACCTTGACATTGTTTGTTATCGTTGTTTAATCCTTACGTTAATTTTCTATCTCAAAATTCTCATTAATCCAAGTTCTCATCTTATTCTTCTTCTTCTTCTCTTTCTTTATTATTATTATTATTATTACTATTACTACTGCTACTACTACTACTACTACTAGTATTGTTAGTATTATTATTGCTACTATTATTATTGTTGTTGTTATTATTATTATTGTTGTTGTTTATAATTTGTACAATTAACCTCTCTGTGGTTCGACCCCGGTCTTGCCGGGTTATTTATTACTTCGACACTCCTGCACTTGAAAGAAGACAATAATCTTTTAGTCGTGTCAGTATTAATGAGATTAATATGTTAGAGCTCTACTTGAATAGTAGATATAGAAGAAGAAACTATTCTAACATAAAGTTTACTTGAGTTCCGAGTAACTCTCAGAGAGCCACACAAGTATCATGAACAGCTAATCCATCTAAGTTAGGTGGTAGTGCAAGTAGAGAAATGTTAGTATAAAAGATTATTAATATGGAACCTTAGTAAGGTATGACATCTACTCTATATTGCTATAAAAAATCCAAATAAAATGACTACGAAGATGACCATTACATTGATAGAGTTAATGTTGAGGAGGAAGATGGAGAAGATAAGGGTATTGAGTTAATTGAGCATGTTAATCAGTACATGGCTTCTCATGCTCCTAAAATTAAGGTAGTGAATGTGGATGACCAATACAAATGCTTATGATTATTAGCCATGTAGTGAATGTGGATGACCAATACAAATGATCAGGCTAATAATCATAAGCATTTATAAGTTGATAAATTGAAGGTTAGAAAAAAATTCAAAGACAAGTCCGAACGTAGTACTATAATGAAATGGTGTCATATAAATAATTCATTACAATACAAGATTCATCATTCAACTAAAATTTATATTCAATTAAAATATGTTCAAGAACCAGTTTGTGAATGGTATCTGAATTGAAGATATCACTAAAGATCTAATTCATATGAAATTTTAAAATTGAAAAAGTTATGTGAATGTCAAAATCCTCTTGTTTTATAATGCCATTATTAGATTGACTCAGGTCTCATTGTTGAGGTAATATTGACAATTATTAAGAGGGATTTAAAAAAGATTGTTGCAATGATTTAAGATATTATGGAGAAGAATTATGAGCATGAAGTTTCATATTGAAAGGTGTATATGGATAAACATAAAATATTGAAGTGGTTATTTGATACACCTAAAGATTCTAATCAACATGCTATTTATATAAATCGAATGTAAAAAATGTACTAGCTTCTATGGTTTGTCATGCTAGATGGTGCGGGATAGATATTTCATAGTAAATCTCACTCATGGCCACGAATTTTACATAGATGAGTTGGATGTTTAACGCCATATTAGGTATAAGTTACAAATGTTTTGAATTTTTTTTTATATATGAATGTAAATTATTTAGTTTTGATTTATTATCTAATAGAAGTCTTATAGATGTTCTGATAAGTTATGTAAATTTAGTTTTGATTTGTTATCTAATAGAAGTCTTTTAGATGTTCTGATAGGTTATATGAACTTCATATAAAAAAAAATATTTTTAATCTTGTATATATGTCGTGAGGGATCTCACATTTTGTTAACATAGGTTTCCTTACACTACTTTGACATTGTTGAGATCCATTGCCTATATCGAGTAATGCAATAATTTGAATTATCTTATCATATACTGAATTATATTGATACTAGTAATGAGCTACGTAACGTTAATTGCCAAGTTAAGCTCGAGAGGAATTAACTGGTTCATGCATCTTACCTAAATCTTTGAAATGTTAGAAGAGATCATGTTTTTTAAGAGCGACATCCAATGATTAATGTAGATACTTACATGAGATGGTATTTTTTTCATTATACACCATTTTATTACACCTACCTAGTCACATATTCTAAGTGGTCTATGCAATTCAATGCATTATGCACCCTAATATTCAAGATAGAATCAATTGGTGTGTAATATTGTTAAAAATATAATATTTGTTACATATTTTTAATATTATTATGGATAATGACTACTAATTGATTTTTAATGTATGTATATAGATTAAGTACTTGGTGTGAGAGACTCAAAAAACAACAATGGTTATTTGTGAAGATGTCGATGAGATGGGATGTATTGTGGCCAACATCAAACCTAATTTTAAGTCATAATGAACTTTAAGATACTTGGGAGGCTGAGCATCTTGAATTGGGATGATATTGGTCATTCTTACACCTACATGCAGAGGCGGAATTAAAAGGAGGCAAGTAGAGGCTCGGACCCTTGCAAAACATTTTAATTTTTTAATTATTTAGTATTTAAGTATAGGATGGTGAAATGTTTTTTATTTTAAATAGATAGGCCCTTTTAATAATAAATTACTATTTCCTTAGCTATCATTTGATATTAAAAGCTCTTTATTTTATGCTTTTTGCACGGAAAAGAAAAGACAAACAACTTTTTTAATTTAATTACCTTTGTTATCTTCTCTTTTTTTCTCTTTCTAGAGCCCTAACATAAAAGGTATAAGAATACAACTGGCAACATGGAAAGGTTTAAGCAAAACCATCAATTAACTTATTTTTCATCTAAACAAGGTAATTAGTCAATGGTAACCCAAACTTAATTTTTTTTTTGTTTTGAGATGTTTGTTAAGAATTTGATGGGGTTTTTTTATATATATAATTCTGCTATTTTTGCTCTCTTTTTTTTCTTTTCCAAATATGCTTATTGTACCTTTTTTTTTTAATTCTTGCTATAATGAATGCTTTTGTTCTAATTAATTGGATATATTTTATGGGTTTTTTTAATTATGCTTGGATTTTTTATGTTTTTTTTTTAGCAAAGCCACCAAAATTAGCAATTTTTCTCACGTGTTCCTTACTATCACCAAGTCCAATAGACAATTAGACACAATCTTTCTAGCCAGATTGAGTTCTGGTTTACATGTTAAAAAATTTTATATAAAAATTTATAATGTTTTGGTTTTAGATTAAACCATGAACAAAATAAGAAAAATTGATTCTTTTTTTAGAAAAAGAGAAAATATTAATAACTTGCAGTATAATGAACCAACTTTGATGTGTAATGTTAAAGTTATAATTCAACAGTCGCAATATGCTTTAGTTTGTGAAGAACTTACATTGATTAGTGAGCAGCCTCCCACTAGAATTAATATTACTAATTTAATTAGAGATACAAGTAATCATCCTTGAATTTAAGAATATCTAATTAATCAACAAGATGAAATTCAGAAGGCATACATTAATTTAGGTCTATATCAACCTTTGATGTCTGAATATCCATTGACTAGTGAAAAACATCCTCGTCGATTTCAGTCTCATTAGTTCAAAAGTTATCCATAACTTAAATATTCAGAGAAAAATACTGTATTTTATTTCCATTGCTATATATTTTCAGGTAAGTCATCTGGAAAGTCAGGATCAGACACACTTACTATTAAAGGATTCAATTGTTAGAAGAAAGTTAATGATAGGAAACGATGTGCTTTTTTTACTCATATAGAAAAAGGTCCAAATTTAGCTCATAGATTTGCTAACAAGTGCTTGGAAAATTTTAAAAATCATTCATGTCATATTGAGAAGGTAGTTAAGAGGCAAACTACTTAAGAAATTCTAAATAATAAATTGTGTATTAAAGCTTTAATAGATATTTTGTATTGGCTCACATTTCTAACATGTGTTTTTAAAAGGTATGATGAACGTCCAGAATAAAAAAATCGAGATAATTTTCTTGAAGTGGTAGAACTTGTAGCATCATACAATATGATCTTTTGTTTTGGGTAATGCTCCGTAAAATTCTAAATACACCTCACATCAAATTCAAAAGGAAATTTTACATGTCTTTACTAGAAATATTCAGTCTTCAATTCATCACAAGATTAGTGATGCAAGATTTTATTTAATTATTGATGAAGCTCGAGATGAGTCTAGAAAAGAGCAAATGACCCTTGTTATTAAGTTTGTTGATAGAAGTAGATTTATTAAGAATGATTTTTTGATATAATTTATGTCAAAGATAATTCATCATGAGATTGGTGATGCAAGACTTTATTTAATTATTGATGAAGCTCGAGATGAGTCTAGAAGAGAGAAAATCACCCTTGTTATTAGGTTTGTTGATAGAAGTAGATTTATTAAGAATGATTTTTGGATATAATTCATGTTAAAGATACAATTGCGTTAACTATTAAGGAAGATATTTTTTATTTTATCTCATCACAATCTTGATGTTCAAAGTATTAAGGGTCATGGGTAAGATAATGCTAGTAATATGCATGGAAAGTGGTATGGTTTGCAAGTTTTATTCATTAATAATTGCTCTTATGCATATTATGTACATTGCTTAGCTCATTAATTAAAATTGACTCTTATTGTTATAGCTAGAGAAATATCTGATGTTCACACTTTCTTTCATAATTTAATTTTTATTGTTAATAATGTTAGTGCTTCTTACAAGCATAATGATAAATTATAGGCTTTTCAAGCAGTTTTAATTAAACATTTAATTGATATTAGTGAGATTAAAACGGGTAAAGGAGTTAATCAAGTATGTGATTTGTAACGATCTAAAGATGGTAGATGGAGTTCACATATTAAATCAATATGTATTTTGATAAAAATGTATGGGGCAACTTGCTTAGTTCTTGAAAACATCGTTTTAGATGGATCTATTTATTCTTAACGTGGTGATGCGACTTTTCATTTAAATTGGTAATGTCATTTAATTTTGCATTCATCTAGCATATAATGAAAAATATTATGGGAATTACTAATGTACTTTGTTAATCCTTGTAACAAAAATCTTAAAACATTTTAAATGTTATGTATTTGATAACTACCATAAAGACTTTAATTCAGAAGTTAAGAGACGATGGTTTCAAAACTCTTCTAGAAGAAGTGATATCATTTTATAAGTATCAAGACATTAAAGTTCTTGATATGGATACTTATTTTTCTAATGTAGAATGATCTCGCTGTAAAACAAAATCAGTAACAATTAAGTATCACTATCGAGTTGATATATTTGCAATTATCATTGATCAACAATTACAAAAGTTAAATAATAGATTCAAAGAGCAGGCGATTGAGCTTTTTAAGTTAAGCACGACTTTAGATCCTGAAAATAGCTATAAATTATTCAATTTTAAAGATATATGTTTACTTATTGATAAGTTGTACTTGAAAACTTTTCTAACCAAGAAAAAATTCATTTGCGATTTATTGCAGCATTATGAGCTTGATGCACCTAATCATCCAAAATTAAAAAATATGCCATCGATTGCTAATTTATATCAAGGATTTGTTGAAATGGAAAAAATCACAATTTATCTACTCACTGATAAGTTGATTCAGCTTATTTTGACACTTCATGTTTCAATAACAATTATTGAACAAGCTTTTTCAGCGATGAAGATTGTTAAAACAAGACTTCGCAATTGAATGGATGATGATTTTTTTGCAAATTATTTGATTGTCTATATAGAAAAAAAATTTGCTGAAAAATTGACAATAAATATGATAATCGATGATTTTTATTCTATGAAAGAACGACAAGCATAGTTGAAATAAATATATAAGAATCATTCTTTATTTTTATTTTTACTTTATTTTAAAGTTTATCAAACATAAATAATGTTTCATTTTATCTAATATTTCTTATATATTATGTATGTTTATATTTGATAGGTATAAAGACTAATAAAATTAAAGTGATTGATATATTATGAAGATAAAATTAATTTAATCACTTTGAATCAATTTGGTATTGCTCAAAACTTCTTACCTTGTGCAAAGGTCATTATATATTTGTATTTTTTTTATAACTCATGTACAATAAATTAAAAAAAATATTATATCTTATTATATTAATTTTAACCCTTCTAATAAATAATTCTAGCTCCATTGAAGATTCCACCTTTGAAAGTGATACATTTATGGAGGCTGGCACAATTTATTAAGACTAACAATGTTTTATTAATATGTAAAGGTGATCATTTTCAGTTCTGTTCGGTTTTTATATGAAAATATTAACCAAATACAAATTTATTATTTTAAAAAATTTAAAAACAAAACCAAACCTAAATCGGTTCCAACCAACTGATTTCGATTTTTTTTTTTGTTGTTCAAAAACCGGTGAAACCCATAAGCAAATCTCGTTTCTGCTGTTCAAGAACTTGTTCCAATTTACATGACCAAGACATTATGAAATTCCATTTACAATACAAGCAAAACCAAAGTCGCAGATTACAACATAATAAGAAAAGCAAAAAATACAAAATATCGAGGAAAATAAAGGCTAGAGCAAAGGCTCTCTTTGGAAGAGAAGCATATGGATAAATCTTGGATGTAGTTTAGCTTGATTGAAGTAAAAGATAAAGTCCATGAATTCATTACAACTTGCAACTCAAAAAAAGAATTAGCTTTAAAACATGAAACCTTGATAAGAGCAAGAAAGAGTCGGACTAGAAGAGCAGGATCGAGATCTGGTGTTTGATAAGCAAGTAGGTATCACTAGTAAAATAATTGGTGACTCCCTGAGCTTAGTTCTAGTGATCCCAGTGAATAAAGATGCTAGATATGCAGGTGAAATGAATTTTTTAAAATTAATATTTTTTATTATGGTCAAAAAACTTTTGACATGATATAAAGAGAAGAGAGAGAAGAGAATGTGAGTAACGATAATATATAAAGGTAGAAAAAAAGGGGTACTACAAGTTTTGCTTTAGAGTTTAGGGTCTAGATTAATAACTATTTATATTATTTTTTTATAGTTTTTTTTAGAATTATAGTTAAACCAGTTCAATTTATTCTGGTTCAATTGGTTTTAGGTATTTAAAACCAAAATCAAACGAAACCATAAATTCTTTTGAGTTTTCTAATAAGTTAGTTTATTTTTTTCTTAATTTATTGTTTTTTTAATTTAATTAGATTTTCGATTTTCTTGGCTTATCCTTACAAATGTGTATGTTCCAATGCTAGCAGCTGATGCAAGAACTACGTTCCACTTAAAGAAAGCAACAGTGAATGTAAGAGAATGAAATTAAATTACCCGGTCTATAGGTCTATACGACTATATGCTTTTTAAAAATATTTAGAAAGTACAAAGCAGCAATTAAGTGATAGATAATACTAACTTCAATAAGACAATAGAAAAAATAGTAAAGCCATCGCATGAACATATTTTTTTTTTTTATGTTTGGAAGTTTTATAAAAAAAAATATTTTTATTTTATTTTATTAATTTTTTTATATTTTTAGATATTTTGATGTATTGAAGTTAAAAAAAAAATAAAAAATAAAAATATTATTTATTTTTAAATAAAAAATATTTTAAAAAACAAAATCAAATTGCATGAAAAAAAATGCATGAACACTTGCATTTTCATTTACTCTCTGCATCACCCCTATATTTCATGTAGAATAAAAAATAACAAAACATGTAAGCAAAACCAAATGAATCCATAAAGAAACCTAACCTAATTTTTTTCAAAAAAAGGCATTACTTTTATGAAAGAATTTTGGAGAAATTAAGATATCCAGATAGTTTAAACTGCTTTATTAAAAAAAAAAAAAAAAAAAAAGGCATTCCTTTTGAGGAAGCCATGTAAGAGATCCATTTTAGGTGCCTAGCCATTAAACCACTCAAAAATCATGACTTACATCGTCATTATTATGCAACTCAAGAATCCAGCCCCATTAACTTCGGTGATAGTTTAATTAGATGGATTTTAAGTTTATTTTTTTAGTAATTATGAGTTTAAATTTTTTTAATGGCATTAAATATTTATATAATTATTAATTTTAAAATTTATAAAATTAATTAAAGTAAATATAAGCTAACTAAACATACACATTAATAATAATAAAACAAAAAAAAAAATCCAGCCCAACTAGTTCTCACTCGTCCCCGCGCAGTCCCACAATGTATTGCTACTGTCATCTTCACACCGACACAAAACCACCCCAACGCCAGCCAGATCGCAACCTCTAATCAACCCTCCTATCTTTCCTTTTTCCACGACCAACATTGCTACAATCACCCAAATCGCAAGCTCTAATGAACCCTCCTATCTTTCCTTTTTCCATGACCAACATTGCTACAATCACTTCCACACTAATTGAAGAGTGTTATATACGATGTGTATTGTTTACAGAGCTAAAATAAAGAGTCGTTTGAAGAGAAAAATGTCATGGATGGAAAACATATCTGTTAGCTCTTATAGTTCAAGTGGTTTTTCCAAACTAACATAGGAGTAGAAAGTTTTGAGATAAAGCACTGCCAGAATTTTATTTAATTTTATTTTGATAATAGCACATCCATAAAAGATTTTTAAAAACCATGAATGATAACTGCAGGTTTTTTAAAAAGGAACTTTACTCTAAATTAAAAATTGGAATGCTATTTCTAAAAAATCAAATTTCCTTCTTATTGCTTGTTTAAATACTCTAGTTTTCTCTTGTTATTTTTTAAAAACTCGCAAATGAAAACTAGTTCGATTGTGCTACTCTGTTTCTAATGCTAGATTGTTGATTTTAAATTAAAAAAAAAAATGTGCACACCCTGTCCCCGTCACTTTCCCGTGCGAAGGGTCGGTGTTAATGTACCTGTCCTAAAGTTTTAATCTTTGACTTTCAAAATTGAATCTTGTTCTAAAAAACTAAACTTTGTTTTTCACTCAAAATAAGCCATGGCAGTTTCTAGTGATTCAGTGCTTCAAAAGGTCTTTGCAAAGAGCCCAACTTTTGATTCGAGCAAAAAGGTTCTAGGAAAAGCAGTGGGTATATCTGGTGGGGTAATTTCTTGCAATGAAAGGAAGCTGAAAAGTGAAGACAAGATCGCAGTAAAAGCATCAGCAGAAGCTGGTTTAAAGGGATTGAAGAGTTATGAGGTGAACTTGGATCTGGGGTTTGATGTGGTGGCAGAGAGAGAGTTGAGAGAAAAAGGGTTCTTGGGGATAAGGAAGACAAAGTTAGTGTGTACTATAGGCCCTGCTTGTTGTTCTTTGGAGGATTTGGAGAGATTGGCTATGGGAGGGATGAATGTGGCTAGGCTTAATATGTGTCATAACACAAGAGAGTGGCACCGTGATGTTATTAGGAAAATCAAGAAGTTGAATGAGGAGAAAGGTTTTTTTGTTTCGGTTATGATTGATACTGAAGGCAGTCTGATTCATGTAGTGGATCATGGAGCTCCTTCCTCTATCAAAGCAGAGGTATCTAATTAGAATCGCATTGTTTATTTCTCTCTCTCTCTCTCTCTCTCTCTCTCTTCCATGTTATTGGTGTGGTGTGGACATTTTTCTTGTAGCTGTTACTTCAGGAGAATTATGAGTAGAATGCAGCGTCACTAGAACCCAGTATGTAGTTTCCCTTTCATTATGGAGAAACATGACTATAGACTATTTATAATCTTGGATTATAATAATAATTTGTTGAAATGAATTTGTTGTAATCGATGGATTTTTGGTTTTACTTGGGCACCAGGAAGGTTCAGTTTGGGTTTTTACAGCTAAAAAATTCGAGGGTTCTCGTCCATTCACTGTGCAAGCCAACTACGAACGCTTCTCTGAAGGTGGTGAATTTATCTTCTTGTTCACTGGGTCACTTATCCTTCAGTTTTTTTTCTTTTATATGTTTTATAAGAAATTACAAAATGATACCATTGCTTTATTTCAATTTATCTCAATAGAATTGAATAATCGGCAGGCATCATGGTGGGTGATGAACTGGTTATTGATGGTGGAATGGCGAAGTTTGAAGTCGTTGAAAGAATGGGGAATGATTTGCGTTGCAAGTGCACGGATCCTGGTCTATTCCTTCCTCTAGCCAAGTTAAGCTTCTGGAGGGATGGGAAGCTTTCCTATCACGGTCTTCCAACTCTATCAATAAAGGTTTTATTCTCCTCTCTCAACAGCATATATTGACTACACTATTTCAACTTTCGCAGTCTGCTACCTGTTTTGCTTGCATGTCTCAAAATCCAAGAAATTCAGTACCTTTACAGTGTAAATTAGATTGTTCAAGTCTGAAACACTAGATCAAAATTGCGATTCTGCAATTTGCATACTTAGCACTACAGAAAACCTAGCATACTTCTATCACTTTCCAGGGACCTATATGATGAAGTTCTTAGATTCACTGAAAGGAAAATAGAAGGATAGGCTCTCCACATTATAATCCTTATTGTCCCTTAACAAAAATCATCACATACTTTCCTTGATGGAATTTGGCGAGCAAGTAGCATCACTTCCTCAAATTCATTAGATTTCAAACTCAATCAGACTTAGATGAAATCTTGGTTTCATGCTCTGATAAATTTCTCATCTATACTCGTTGAACGTACAGGATTGGGCAGATGTTGATTTCGGAGTTTCTGAAGGTGTTGATTTTATTGCCATGTCCTTTGTAAATGATGCCAATTCTGTCAAGAATCTGAAGAATTATCTCTCCGCCAAATCATCCAAGTAAGAACACATTCACCAAGTTGAGATCTCATGTAATTGCCCACATAAAAATTTCCTTTCCTCTTTCCATTTGTCTCCAATAATATAATGTATTTGACTTGGACTAATTATAGGTTTTCTTTTACAGAATGACAAATAGTTTCTGAAACCATACCTGAACCTTGTTTGTGCAGAATCCTCCCCCCACTCTCCTCCCCGCCCTCTCTTTTCCAACATCCTCTTTTTTCTTTCTTGTTAAAAGTTATATCTGCCTTGATTTAGCTAATATTACGTTGCCATATTTGTGAAATGGTGTTTATCTATGTCCTATATTATACAAAGTTAGATAACAACATAGATATAATTGTTTTTCCCCTTCTATTTAGTATCTTCTGGAAAACGAAGTATGAAACTTGAGCATTGCTGTCATTTACAGATTAATAAGAGTACTGGCAAAGATTGAGACCTTGGAGTCTCTTCAGAAATTGGAAGAAATTGTAGAGGCATCTGATGGAATCATGGTGGCTCGTGGTGACCTAGGAGTTGAAGTTCCACTTGAACAGATTCCAACAGTCCAAGAGGATGTAACTCGTTTATGTAGGCAGCTGAACAAGCCAGTAATTATTGCTTCTCAACTTCTTGAATCAATGGTTGAATGCCCAACTCCAACACGTGCTGAGGTATTATTTGACAACATCTGTTGTAATTGCAAATTAATATCTTATAGTAGCATAGGGGGACACTTTTTCTGGAGGGAGAGAGAAACATCTAAACATTTTTTTTTACAAGGTGTTTTCTTGAGAATAGAAAGCCAAAGCATTCGAACCTTACACAACCGGTTTAAAAGCTCTACACTAGAGGACAAAAGGAAAATTTCTATATACATCTACAATATCAGATAAAGAAGTGAAAAAAAAGGAACACCTTAATTCACTGTTTGGTCGTGGGAGATCTTTGAAATTCCATTCGATGTAGTCTGGAATTAAACAGTGTGGCTTCCCAGTATTGCATCTCATGGAATGATGGAAGCTGCTTTTTGTTAGACATGGCATGAACTTGGATCGCTGTCCCATTAATCTGAATGTGGAATGATTGGATTGAGAGGAACAGTAGGGTTATGCAGTTGAGACTTCTATTCATGAGATTAAACTGTCTTGTCTAAGGAGCTGTTCTGTTCTAAAGGGAACGTGCATTTCTTTCTGTAAAGAAAAACAATATATAGTCTTGTTGAAATTTTTTAAAACTTACTGCCTTCTTTCATTTGAAAAGGTGGCAGATGTGTCTGAAGCAGTTCGACAGTATGCAGATGCACTGATGCTGTCTGGTGAATCAGCTATTGGATTACATGGGCAGAAGGCTCTTTCTGTCTTGCAGATGGTCAGCAGTCGAATGGAACTATGGAGTCATGAGGAAAACCGACAGGGTGCTCTTCATAACAGTCAGCTGGGCAATACGTTGTCTGATTGCATTGCTGAAGAAATATGCAATTGTGCTGTTCAAATGGGTATGATTTTCCTTTAACCTTCACTTACATTTTAGTACTTTCGTTGTGAAGCATCAATTGGATGGATGTCATGACAGATGCTAATCCTTTTCTCTAAATATCTTTTCACCCTTTTTTTTTATAACAAAAGGTGTCCTCTCAACATTATCTATAAACTGTGGAAATCCATTGATGAAACGATAGCTTTCCTTACAAAATTACATAATCATTCAAACTTGGACAATACTGAGCCACAAGTCAATTGATGTGTTGAGTAGGCTTTTGTGTAGCACCTTGACGAATCTTTCAGTCAAATTGTAACTTGAAGCAATGCCTTGGAGATTTCCAAAAACTTCATATTCTCTATGCATAAGATGGTTAACTGGAGATGGCATGGGATTTGTAGTTGTAGTTTCATTGATGACCAAATGTGTGTTTTAGTTGTTCTCTGCGTGCTGCCATCCCTAAAAATACCAGATATGTAAGCAATTGGAACCCTTTGGGTTTTTGTAGAAGTGCAGTGAAATATGCTAACAAATGTACTTCATCAATCATTAATGCGTGGTCTTTCCTCATCTTTTGGACATATAAGCACACACATGGTATTAACTTTTGATGTATCACTCCAAAATATCCAGGCCATGACTATTTGGAATTTATGCCGGTGTTTTTGTTCTCCAGCTAACAACCTTGGTGTAGACGCTATCTTTGTCTACACAAAGCATGGTGAAATGGCATCACTTTTATCTCGCAACCGGCCCTACCCTCCCATATTTGCGTTTACCAGTGACAATAATGCTCGGATGGCTTTGAATTTGCAGTGGGGAGTTATCCCACTTCTTGTTGATTTATCAGATGATATGGAAGCCAACATCTCAAAAACCATTGATCTGATAAGAACAAAGGGGATGATAAAAAAGGGAGATGCTGTTCTGCTGGTCTCAGATTTAACTCCAACACATGCAACTTCAACGACTTTCCAATCAATCCAGGTGAAGACCATTGTTTAGGAGAATTACTCCTTTCTGAATACTGTTTAGAACATAAGTGAACACAAAGGCTTTATTTTGATCTTTTTTCTGCAAGAAAAATATGCTGTCAAGACTGAGTTCGGTAATCGAAAATAGACAATACAAGAAATCCACCAAGTGGTGTGAACTATACATGTCCTGTCCATATCATCCAAACTATATTCGGCGTCTATTTGTCTACATGTGAATCAGAATTGGATCCTTTATGTATAGCCCCGCCATTCACTGCTAATTTGTAGGCTATTGGGAACTTGCAAGAAAGATATTGCCTGGTCATAACAGGCTTTCTAGCACAACGTTTCTGAAAGCCATCCATACAGTTAGCATATAAATAGTTTTATGGAATTACTTGTTTGATGGCAGAAACTTGCAAGTTTTATTTAGGTTTCAGACTATGGCCCTACATGAACTACAAGAAAGTCATGACAAAAAATAATTTTTTCAGTTAGCGAGGAACAAGAAACTCTCATGCTTAAGTCACTACGTGTGTAGAGAAACTCTTATAAATTCTTTGAGGAACAAGTTTGTATAAAGTAATTTGTACATGAAAAAAAGGTATGCAGGGCAAAGCAAACACCATGTTTAAGTGGAATTTCTAACTAGAAAATTCCAGCCACTTTGCTTAGGCTAGGCCAAGCGGCTGTAACATTTCCAGCCGCCTGGAGGCTCAAGCGGCTGGAAACAACAAAAAACTTTCTTTTTTATTGAAAGATTCCTTTTTATTTTTTCTTTTTCTTTTTCTTTTTTTTTTTCATCATCAGTAACCAGCTCTTCCTTGGCGTATACATGAATCAAATTCTCCAATAATTACGCTACATAACAAAGATTATAATATAACTTGTGTAATCCTGTGCGTGAAAGACGTGAATTATGAATTTATTCCTCTCTATATGACACTCGGTTATCAATGTAGAAAGTTCCGTGAAGTTTGACTTCCTCTCTTTCCCCGTCAAAAATCAAA